CTGAACCCCGTGTCACTCTGAGAATCGCTGGTGCCCTGTGAGCACGGTGCTTTGCCCTGGTTTCTGTGCAGAAACTGGAGCAAGGTTGCACGCCTGCAGTAAGCACAGGTAAATTGTGCCAGCCAGGAGGGACCTGGCTGGTCTGTGCTGCTTCGGCTACGCTGATGGTTTATACGAGCTGCACAGTTTTCTGCCTGTCTTTTAGGGAAACAGCACTGCGGAGAGGGAGTCACCGCCATGCACAAATACCACGTCTCAGAAGTTACAGGGTGGTCCCCAGTACAGTGGATGCCTGGCCTTCTTCGGGGTGATCCCAGGATATTTGTTGTTCAGGGTCCTTGCGTTGAGCATGGAAGGGCTGGAAAAGATATTCCCTATTTCAGCCCCTTGACAGTTTCTGTAAAGAAGATGTTGCTACTTAATGATATGCAACAGGTTTATGGGGTTTTAGAGAAGGTGCCACTGAGTTCATACAGTCACTAAAGACGAGTGGGGTGTGAGGTGACTGTGGAAAGCCTTTGTTCAGTACGCTGACCTTGGCATGAAGGTACTAGTGGCTGACTGGTGCTCTCAAATTCTACAGTAAATTGGATTTAGATATGGTCATTGCTTACTGTGCATTAACTTTCTGTAAGTGTCTCATAGCAACCTTTTAAATTGCAGGTGTAGTTTTCGTCCTGGGGTATTTTTAAGCAAACGGTGTTAGCATAAAGTTAATGAGGCAGTTCTCTTTAAAGGATGACAAACTTTGTTCTTCCTTGATTTTGTTTATACCACTTGACACACAGATTTTTCATTCTTTTCAATGGAACCGAATTTAGCATCAGTAATAAGTATGGCCAGTCATTCTGTCAAAACAACTCTGAACATCTTGATACGTGTTCAAAAATATCAAAACCTGTCTGTCCCTCAGACCTGCCCACATTCACTTATACAGGCACATCCACCCAAGGATAGGGTTGGTACAGAAGCAGCATGTTGCAAGTCAACTGAAGGTGAGATCTGGCGTTCAAACTAACCCATTATATGCTGCAAAGGTGCAGCTGTTGCCATGGAAAAATACAATATCACAAGTTATCGGTTTGTTTTCCCTGAAAATGTCCCTTTTTTAACGGAACTGCATTTTGTCACACTAGGACTTCTCAATTCTGTTAGCACCTCCAGGACAGAGTGAAGGTGGTTTTATTTGTTGAGTCAAATTAAATGTTTATAAGGCAAAAAACTGTCACCAAATCTTTTTCAACGGCTACAATCAAGTCAGTTTGTGTAGAAGGAACAGATGCTGCACTGCAGCCCTGTGATAAATACTGTTTGCAGTCTGTGCACTAAGTGGAATTTAATAGTTTTTCTTTCAGGGGCAGATTGCCTGTGCTTACTTAAGTAAACGTTCTTTGCTTTCTATTTGTGATACAGCTGTACTTCTGACAGTGAGACGGGGGAAGATGTCAGGTATGGTATTGTATGTGATTATTGGTCTCCCTACCAAATTGGTTGCTGTAGAAGGAACCAAAGGTTTCTGAAGTCTGTACTTAAGATCTTCAATCAGAATTCTGAAAATCACTAGAACTTTTACTGTATTAATTAGCTTAGAATACAGTTTTTGAAACCACCTATGTGACTTACGAAAATAAGAGCTGGATTTCCTTTATGAAAACATTGCTCTTGGGTGATTTTGAAAATTGTAGCCTGACTTTCCTCTATGTCTTTAAAAATCTTTCCCTTAAAAATTCTAAACCAGATTATTCCCTAACACTACACTTCAAAAAAAATAGTATCGAGTATTGCTTTAAAGGTTTCACTTATTAAAGCAAATTCTCCCCATTACCCTTCTCTTGGATTTTTCCATCCTGTCCTAAGTTTGTTTTCACACCTAGCATTCTTCAGGCTCACACAAACTGAGAAGTGTGGGGAGTAGTTGATTAGTCCATCTGTTGGCCAGGGATCCTTGTGTGGAACTTATTTTCACCTGATTAACATAGTTCAGCTTGGATTTTAGGAATATCTACCAAACCAACCAAGAGCAAAGCTTTCTGACGTGGTGGTTGTCATTTTAGTGTGGTACACAAACCCCCAGAATGGTAAATCTTGTAAAAGTGACAATCCTGTCCTACACTGAAGTCAGTGAGGACTTTGTTACTGAAATCAGCCAAGGGAAAATGCCATATGATGTCCCCCTTCTTGAGTTATGCTCAACTGTGTGTCTTCTACCGACCAGGGTATTTTCTTGGTTCTGCAACACATCAGCTGTTGTGCTGCCTTTTCTTTAATTTTATCAGCCTCTTCTCTCCCATTTACCTTGTTTCTCAGACTTGTTACCTGGTTGTCATACTGAGTCCTGCAAAACTTTTACTCCCATCTGTGTGCAGTAAAGGAGATATATGTATCTATCTATCTATCTAACGACTAAGCCTCCTGGTAAAGGGTACTTGGAAATCTCACAGTTGTTCTTCTATGAGAGACTGCGGTTTCTGGCCCAATTTAAAGTGAAACCATTTAAACCCATTAAGACACAAGAGAAGTATGATCAGAATTGGGCATTTGCAACTTGTTTGCAACTGTTACGAGGCTGGATGACAAACAGTGAGATAACATGCACAACAGGATGGCAAGCATATTAAAAAGTAGGGAAAAATATTAGACTGTATGAAACAATTATCTACATGATCATTGGTTCTGGGAATCTCAACTGTGTTAGGTAAGAACTGTAGGAATATGTCTGGTCGTTTTGTTACACTAGCATTTTGTAGAACATTTTTGATGTTCCCAGAACAGAGAGTATTTTGAGCCAAAGTCTTGTGAGGTCTTGAGCATTTAGTCATAGGTGTTGAACACTTTCTTCAAAACTGTTCAGATCTTCTCAAGACTCAAGCTTTAACCATACCTTTTTTAGGTCAATATCATGTAGTACAGAATTTTAGCATACTTAAGAGAGTTTTATTTCTGTTATGGAGTCATTTTCTTCTATTTTTAATTATAGCATAGTGACAGTACTTTGAAGTGTTACTTGCACTGACCACAATCATTGAATTTAAAAAAAACCCAAAAACCCTTGTGTTTGTTTTCTGCAGCCCAGAGAAAGAATCTCCTGTTGACACGGAATTCAGGTACGGCACTTAAAAAGATAAGGGGAACCTCCGGAGGTCCCTTCCAACCCCAGCCATTCTGTGACTCTCTGAACCTTCTTCAGAAGTGTCTTGCACTTCCTGAGTTGTTCCTCCTTCAAAAGCTAACGGGTTGTCTCTGTATGCAGCGACTGCCAGATTTAGAAGAAAAACCAAGCAAGCAACCCTTGCAGTTTGTTTAACAGTGGCAAAAACATTACTCAGGGCTGGCAATGTCAACATATTCTGTCAGGCTGGAAATAATGGAAGTGTATTTTTCTGATAGTGCAGTAAGAGTAAGGACAGGACAGTACACATTTCTCTCGTGTCTGGAGGACATTTGATTCTGAGTTATTGACTGATATTAGAAACTCATGAATTGTGCAAAATAATAAAGATAAAACTAGTCAGCAACCCAAACCACACAGGAAAGTTTCTTGCAATGTATTATTTCCTCTACCATTATAACCATAACTTCATGGTAGTTTAAGTGCATCCATTTTCTTTTGAAAATCGCCAACATTTCAGACTTGTTATGTTTATTAAGGCACTGAGATTCATACATGAATGTCCCTTAACTAGTCTTATTTTCAGTGATCTTGAGTGTGTACTGAGACTATTGGACTTAAAAAAAATGAAATGTGAGGATGGAGTTAGATTAATAACTTTAAACAGACAATCTTGACACTGTTGTTTCTGATTCTGAATTAATGAACAGGCCTGATCCTGGATTAGTCAAAGTGCATAGTCTCCAGGGAGCTCAGGGAAGGTTTTCCCTATTTATTCTAAGGTTGGATCTTGCTCTCTGCCTCTTTATGATAATCAAGAGGCTGTGATCAGTCTATCTTGTGTGAGCAGAGGAAAATAAAATTACACTCCATAGATGAAAATTCATGTTTGTTTATGCAGCCTGGGGTAGGAGGCAATTACTGCCACCTGCAGAATAAATTCCTCGTACGTCTTTGTCTGCTAAGCCACTAGTTTGCATTCAGCCTTTTCAGTGTAAAGCCTTAGGCAGGTTCAAGGCTTTCAGAGAAAGTGTTACACGCTCCGTTTCAGAATATTTGGTTCCCTGGATTTTTGGCCACGTGTTTCTCAGTTTCGGTAAAAGTTTTGTTTGACTGCCACGTCAGTGTGAGGAGCACTGTGGGGTTCTCCTGTGATCAAGCACCTGCAAGCTTTTTGTATATGTCAAAATACGATCTGTATGTCATCTTAGTGTCAATTTGCAATTAAGATTAATTTAAGAGGGGTTTACTAAACTCTAAATCCATACTGAATTTTGCCAAGGTCATTGCTTGTTCCTAAATTCCTGGCAGTAATTCCTTCTGACCGATGGCCTAAAAGCAGAGTGCGAGCCAAACATGAATGGTGTTCCCAGGCATTGTGTTCTCAGCATGGGCTGCATCTTACTGGCTGTGCCTGTGTCTTCACTGAATGAAAGAACACTCGGTAAAAAGTTTTAAAACCATTTTCCTCAAAACTTTGCTACTGTTTTAGAAAAAATAAATTAGAAGTAACTTTTCAATCACATTGAGAATTAAGGGCAGCAAAGGCACAGTTTCAAGCAATGAAAAGGAGGGGGAAGGAATATGTGTTCATCTTGGAATGGTCCGAGCAATTTTTTCTCAATCATTGGGATGAGATTATCATTCTAATTGAAAAAATGATTCCCTCTTGAGGAAAAACTGAATGTTCTTAGAATTAAATTTTGGAACTGTGGGCTGGGCTGCTTAGGGGATTATTTGTCTGTCTTTTTTTTTTTTTCTGTTTCTGATTCATTTTCCAATAAAGAAAATTCATAAAGCAATTACATTCTAATGAGCCATCAGACATTTGAACTTGGAAGCGTGTTAGCAAGGTAGTGTAGCTGTGTGTTCTCTCAGGTCATCAAAGAAAATTGTGTGCTCTAATGACTTCTAAGCAAGCTTGGTGAAAGCCTGAAAACAAGCAGGGCAAGTGACCTTAACTCCTGATAAAAAAAAGAGAAAGCACCTGGTGTATTTTAGCAGCTCATGGTTTGAATTGCATCCAGGCCCAACTGGAAAGAGGCTGCTGTAATGGCTGTGGGGCAGACGAAGGCTACCTTAGGGTGAGAGGTCCTATTTTTTTATTAAATTAACTAATATAGCTGGAAAGAAAACAGATATGCTTTTAGGCGTATGATCCCTCTTTTGGCCCTTTTCTGAAGAAACGGAGATATGCCAATGAGTTTTCCAACAGTATCAGTTGCTCTAATGAAAAATGCTGCCTTTCTCCCAGCTCTGCCTTACTGAGGTCCTTAGTGCACAACAGCCACAAAAGCACTACTACTTCACTAGCAGGCAGGTACTTTTATTTTTAAATAGTAATAATAATAAACCCTATGAAATAAAACATGTGAGGTGAGATCCTGTTGACCATACCCTTCTCATGGTATATTATGGGGGCAATTCCACAGGGAGAAATTTAGCAAATATTTTTTGTCTGTGTTCTCTTTTCTTGTCTTTATAAACATAGGAAGATTTTACCCATAGTTACCCATTTACTTTATGACTCAAGTTCTCTTCTTAGAACGGGGAAAATAAATGTGTTGGGGGCGGGGGGAATTTCCTTTGTGCGTATGTTAATTTTTTTTAAACACCTTAAAACTATTTTTTTAGAACGTCCCTCCTGAAATGGGTTGCCTCACTAGTTGAACTGCTATACATTTTTCTTTCATTAGTCTATCCAAACAAAGCTGATTCAGTCTTTGGTAATCTTCTTCCTGCCCTCCGCACTGCTCAAGAGGGAGCTTTGCTGTGGCAGCCTCTCCAAAACCCACCTCCCAGCAGAACAAGAGTCAACAAACTGAAATTCATTTAGGTGAATGTTTTCACTATTTGTTGGAAATTTAACAGCTCAAGTATTTCCTTGATGGGAGAGATTTTGCTTGTCCAAAGGAACAGAAATGACAGTGTGCTTTTGAAGACTTACTAGCAGTTTCTTCCTTTACAAGAAGATAGTTTCAAAAAATGCCTACTGCACTGGTAAGCTGGAAACTCTTTTTTGATTTATTTTCCTAGGAAAAGAGGATCAGTAGCATATGCATCACAGAAGCCTTGGTTGCTCAATGCCACAGTGGAAGAGAACATCACATTTGAAAGCCCTTTTAACAAGCAGAGGTAACACGTTTCAGCACCATTACGCGCCTCACTCCCTCTTTTGCTAAATCAAGGCCACAGTTCATGCCTGTGGGTCCCCCTTTCCATCTAAGTAATCACTGTACTGCACCTCCCTGAACATGACAAAAGACCTTGAGTTCCGTGCTGTCCCCATTTGACCATGTTTTCCCTGAAGGACACAAGGGACAGTTCAGTCTCACTTGAACTCCAGCGTAGCACTGTTCTCATTTCCCAGGACCATGTTTGAGCAGCACGCAGTATTCTCTTCTTGTACCTAATCGACTCATTTAACATTAGCCATTTGGGAGTAGGAATGTTGTTTATTACAATTTCTGTGTTTGGTACATTGTGTAGGATTAATGGGCTGCCCTTTTAATCAATATAAATGCCCACCAAATAGTCTAAAATATTTAAAAGTTAATTGCTGGTATTCCACCCGTCCTGCTCTTAAGAAGTGGTTGGCTATGTATCCACGTCCTACACACATATTTTCTGTCAACCTCGGATATTGAAACAAGAAACAAAGGCCCTGGGCATGAAAAAAGTTAAATAACAATACACCATGGAAGAAGCTGTGTTTGTTTTGCCTACTTTTAACTATTAAATGTTTTTAATTGGGAAGCTGACCTAAGATGCTTTTTGTCAGCTTGAATGTTATTTACTTGCCTGTGATTGAAAGAGATCCCATTAGAACAATTAGTGGCTAACAAATATGTTTTCCAGTGTGTGATTTTTCCAGCTGGTTAATTTTGTTCCTCTGCAGGTAGGAAATGTGCTTCTTTAGCAGTATCTGTGTGGATTTTCTGTTACCTTTTTTTGTTTCCGCAGGTACAAAGCAGTAATTGATGCTTGTTCCCTCCAGCCTGATATTGACATTCTCCCTCATGGAGACCAAACCCAGATTGGAGAGAGGGTCAGTAAACAGCTACAGGTTTCTATTTTTGTTTTAAATACATAGAAGGGGTTTTATTATTTTTTCATGTTCTTAAAATCTTACTGGTTATTTGGCAACAAAGGTAAACTTTTAGTTGAGCGTACGTTTGGGTCATTAGTCTGAAAGCTCGTTGCTTAGTAAACATGGCAACACTATCATTTATGTGAGATGCAGTAATTTAAGTGTGCTGCTATCAGAATGTTTGACTAATTTTGTGACTGCTATCTCAGATATTCTGACTTCACAGTGCATTTTTTAGTTTCTTTAGGAGTAATATAAAAATAAATAGTTTGTAGATTTTTTAGATGTCCTTTATTTAAAAAAGAGCAGGTGTTTAATTAACAGCAAACTAAGCTTCATCATATCAGGGGAGATTAAGGAGTGACAAGAAAGGAAACAAGTCACAAATTTGTAAACGAGTTGCTCTGGTGTATACTGGCACTGTCACGAACAAAACAAAGTTAAAATGAAAAACACAACAGACACGCAACACAACACGCACCTCCCCCGGTTACATTTAAGGATACATTTCCATGCCTAATCTCCACACTGGCTATCATGTTAATTATAAGTGGATTAGGTCCTAACCTAACTCATTGTGCAGCCAAACAAGTGTTGTTTTGACAGGAGGAGGGAAGTGGAGGGGAGGGAGAAGGTGGGGTAGCATCTTTCGCTTACGAGAGCTGAAGGTGTGTGTGAAACTGCAGGTGGATCACGGGAAGGGTAAGTCACTCCGAGCAGTGTGGTGGCAGGGCTCAGGGCCGAAAACAAGTACAATAGCAACCAGGTAATGTTCAGCTCAGCATGGTGTGACCTCCCAGCTAGCAGTTACTGATTGCAGTATATAATGGAGCTGATATAATATGCCAGTATACTGTTATAAAAATAAATAAAAACCAGGCCACAGACAGACTCATGAGGCTAATTTTTGAGTAGAAGTCTAGCTAGGCTGCCTGCAGAATATCTATGCCACCTACACCGTTATGTCACCACAAACCGCTAAACATTTCCCATCCCTTTGGTATGTATGGGGTACAGCTCCAGACAGGCTCCTCTGGCTTTTCTGACAATCTCTGTACTGTGTCCCAGCTGAATTGCAGACCCACACTTGAAAAATTTCTCTGGGTTTCTTTGTACTGAATTCTTCTGTGGATAATACGATTGAAAATATGAATATTCAATTGATGTTTTTCTAATTGACTGATTGTTCTTCTCCTGCTTCTGCTTATCTCCAGGGTATTAATCTGTCTGGAGGGCAGCGCCAACGTATCAGTGTGGCAAGAGCACTTTACCAGCAGACAAATGTTGTGTTCCTGGTGAGTGGGTGCCATTATGTTTATGCTGCAAACAGAAGCACAAGATGCAAGCATTTAGAGTATTTCATGGGTAACACCGCAGAACGCTGCTTCACTGAGCTCAGCCAAATGTGCAGTTTATTTTGTATCTGTTGTTAGCTAGAATGCAGGTAAGAAGCATTTTGTAAATGCTGCAGACAGATAGATATTAGGATACAAATTGAAGTGGTGATGCTTCCCCTCTCAGTCTATTGAAATTTCTTTTTGACTCTTTGTTTATCTTTGGTACTTAGAAATTTAATAGTCTCTGCTGTATTCATAAAATTCCTAAGTTGTCTCAGGCCTCATATTAATGTCCTGTGTCCGGGGTGTTTCCTTTGTGCAACAAACGAAGCTCTCTACCCACCCTGAACTGCTTGTTGTATATCCATCCTGTCCCAACTTTAGCAGAAGTGCTGTGGAAAAAGGAGGGAGAGCAGGCTCCAAAAGCTTAGTAGGTGGGAACACGGCTGCATGCTACACTGAAGTATCTAATGTAGTCACAATATAAATTGTTGCAAAAATTGAAGGGCATACAAGTTCAAGGGGATTTTCTAAAACACTCACCTTTTTGCTTATGCCTCTCCCTACTTAACTGGCAGCAATGATGACACTCAGAGAAAGCAAAATTAATTCAGATTCAATCCCACTTTATCAGCAGACATCTGGACAAAAGAAAACTAAGTTTGATTTTTAAGAAATCCTGGCTTTAGTGTAATATAATAGTATGAAATAATAATACTAACTAAATCCTACAGCCAGGGTTAGTAGTGCAAGCAGAAATAATAGATGTGTAATCCCATATAAATAGGATTAAGTAAACTAGTCCCTCAGAAGATGGTACAGATTTTCTTATGCCTAAAGTAATTGCATATAATTGATTGATTCAATAAAATAATCTAGGTCATAAGTCAAGCATCTGAGCAGAATCATCAAAATGACCAACATAACTCCTTTTGTGATTCTTTGTTAATAGAATTTTGATTTATAGAGTTTAAAAAAAAGGTAATCAGAAGGCAGTTATACACAAGGAAAATAAAACTGCTCTTTGTCACTGTCCATGGAGCAGTTTGTGTAATACGTGCCGCAGACAAGCATTGCTGCACCGCTGGAGCCTGACAGAAACAACGTACTGCAGTGACATCGGCTGTGAACACGTCTGTTAAGCGAGGAGCGCTTCCCAGAAAGCCTCAGGAAATCGTGGCGTTTACAGAACTGACGTTACTGTCTGTCCCAGTACTCGCTGCAGACAGACAGTTCAAGGTTTCTTGTTATGTAATTGAAGAAAACCATTCCTCAGAATGATTTTCACCTTCTGGTGGCCTCTTTTGATTGTCTGTATAGATCTAACTGGTTTTACCAGTATTAAAATCTGTCAGTTTTCTTAAATCCCCGTAAATACTGGCTCCAAAAGCTGACCTCTTTACCTTGTGACAGGATGATCCATTTTCTGCTCTGGATATCCACCTAAGTGACCATCTCATGCAAGAAGGGATCCTGAAAATGCTGCGGGAGGACAAGCGGACCATTGTGCTAGTAACTCACAAGCTGCAGTACTTGCCCCACGCTGACTGGGTAAGAAGGCTCTTCCCGTTGTTTTCTGAGGCAAGAATGTGGCATGATTATGTATTCCTACAAACGAGGCTTTCACTTCATTTCCACCAATTGCTTGTTTAGTGAGAAGATGCATAATCATAGAATCATAGAATCACAGAATGGTTTGGGTTGGAAGGGACCTTAAAGATCATCCAGTTCCAACCCCCCTGCCATGGGCAGGGACACCTTCCACTAGACCAGGTTGCTCCAAGCCTCATCCAGCCTGGCCTTGAACACTTCCAGGGATGGGGCATCCACAGCTTCTCTGGGCGACCTGTCCCAGTGCCTCACCACCCTCTCTGTGAAGAATTTCTTCCTGACATCTAATCTAACCCTCCCTGTTTTCAATTTATACCCATTACCCCTTGTCCTATCACTACAGGCCCTTGTAAAAAGTCCTCTCCCAGTACCCTTGTAGGCCCCTTCAGATACTGGAAAGCTGCAATGAGGTCTCCTCGGAGCCTCCTCTTCTCCAGGAATAATAATAACAATCTTTTCAAAATTAACCAGTGAGTTTGGGGTGCCATGATTTTAGGATTCCCATCTTAGAACACCTAAATAGGTTGGATTTTCGTAGAGCTGATACTTCCTACTCCCATAAAAGCAGGCTGCATTTAAAATACACTGAGTATCCAAAGCCATTGGTTATAGTGGAAAGTTTTGCTCATTATTTTTATGTCAAAACAATGAGATGTTTGAGTAACATATTTTCCTCTGCTGGGTGTTACCAGGAATTTGTGCTGCCACAGAAAAAGGTGTGTTAATGGATATTGAGGTGCACAGAAATGTAAGAAAAAAACAGTACTACTTTGTGGTTAGTACTAGTACATAATGTATCAATGTCTTTTATGTCTTTTATGTCTTTTACACTTTTTATGCTGGCACAAGTTTAAGACGTGTTGTATTCAATTATTTTGTTAGGTTTCTTTGTTGCAATTGCAAATATCAAAGATGAAGCAAATCCAGTAGTGTAAGATGTTTGTTTTGTTGGATTTTTTAGTTCACTGGTTCACACTGGCTTTGCACTTAGTTCTCCTACGGTTATCCAGCTACATCAGTCTTCCTGCCCACGAAGATGGATGGCTGCACTTACAACTCCTAGCAGGACTTCTCTGGCATTTGTGTCTTGCGCAGACTATAGCAGCAGTTACTCTGTCTCAAGAAATAATCATATTTCAGCTGCTTGCTTTCTTTGTATTGCCTTGCTATAAAGTTGCAGCCAGACATTAATCCTGTTCTGATCATGTTTTTGGTGGGCAGCATTTATCCTTTATGGTGTCTCCTGTGACCTTGTCCCTTAGTATACACCCTTAAGCGTTGCTAAACACAGTTCCGGTTTGTCAGTCAGTGTCAGGATACAGGAATTTTATGTCTCCTTCCCCTCCCCATGAGATCCATCTTATCTTCCTCTTCTTCAATTGTTATACATTGGCTTTTTTTTTTTTTTTTTTAATATGCACAATTATGGCCTGTATCTGTATAATCTTTTTCATTTTCTTTATGTATGTCAGGCCTGTTTCTAGGCATTCGTGGTTTATGAGATACTCTATAAAAATTATTTTATGTTTATTATCGTCTAATTGGGTTTCAGTAATGTTTGAGGAAATACACTGTTCCAAACAGTCTGTAGGCCAGGAAGGATTTCTATTAATTAATTTTATAA